CCGCACGGACCCACCTGCTGGTACTCGGCGTCTTGCGGTCGGAAGTCGGCGGAGGTGAGCTCCCAGCGCAGGCTGAGGTGCGGCAGGCGGTGCAGCAGGCTCACCCACCAGGGCGGCGAGTAGCTCACGCCCGCCATGGCCGCGCCTGCCTCACCCCGACCCGCCGGCCATGGAGCGCCGCCCGCCTCACCCGCGCCGCTGCCGCCGGCCCCGCATGGCCGGGTGTCCCCCCGCCCGATCCCGGTCCCTCCGCCCGCTCCCGCTCCCTCTTTGTTCGCCGAGAGGCTCCGCCGCCCGCGCCCGGCGCCGCCCGCCCGCTCCCATTGGCGCCGCCGCCGCCGCTCCGCCCCGGGCCGGCCCCTCACGGTCCCTCAGGATCCCTCGCGGCCCCTCACGGTCTCTCACAGCCCCTCACGGCCCCTCACGGTCCCTCACGGTTCCTCACGGTCCCTCACGGTTCCTCACGGTCTCTCACGGCCCCTCAGGATCCCTCACGGTCCTTCACGGTCCCTCACGACCCCTCACGGCCCCTCACGGCTCCCCGGGGCCGGTGGTCGCTGCCCTCGCCGCGTGGCTGCAGCGTTGGTTTGTTTCTAAGAAATCTCCCTGAAATTAACAACTGTCTGTTGCCGTGAAWCTCGCACAGCCCTTCAGTTCTACCAGCGGAAGGTGCGTTTTGGATTTAGCCTAAAGCCCAGTGCRCTAAAGCCAATTTGTGCCACGCCGAGAGGTAAAGGCTGTCATAAAGTCCCTAAACTCTCAGCCAGTCTATTCAGACCTTCARTCTCTCCATCCCAGTGTYCCCATTCCAGCCCTGCTGCAGCACACCTCACCCATTGCTGAGTGCTCAAAGCATTGTCTTTTAAATACCACTCAACATAATTTGGAGTTGGAAAGGGAAAAAGGACCATCCAGTCTTCTAACAAACTTCAGGCAAATGTTTCCCACGTCTTGCAGGCTGGAGAAACTCTCATCTGTTTACAATTAGAAACTGTGAAGGCCCAGGAAAACATAAAAAATATTGGAGTGCTGTGTATCCCACTGGAAAAAAAAAGGTGAAACTGTTTGTTTTCTTCTTCTAAATGGTGCCAGGTCAGTATTATAGAGACACTGCTTTTGCAAGCATGATTTTATTCCTTTTCCCAAATGCAGCCATGATTTCATACTTCACCTTGTCCTGGCTGATGCATTTTATAAATAAGGAGAGCAAAAATGCTCCACTAACCCATTAGGAGCAAATAAACACATTTCTGCTGATGTTCTGATACATAACATCAACTTTAATAGCTTTTGACTAGGACAGGATTTTCATATGGGTATTATCAACACAGCTAAAAAGAAATCTTATCACTCACAAATAGCATTAAGACACACGTCAGAGGGTTCCAAGCTGCACACTGTGAGCAAAAGTACAAGATATACAAGGGTACAAGATATAAGACCTCAACTCCCTCCAGATTTCTCCGAGAAAAGGGCTTTTTTTCCCACGGGAGGAGAGCTGAACATCAGCCAGTTTTATTTTCTTACTAATTATTTTCTTTTTTTTTTCACAATGAGGATGAAGAAGGAATTATTTTAAGGACCAACAGTCTAACATATTTCACCTCCAGTTCTAACAACCCAAAGACAAGGAGYGGAGAGACCTCACTGGGAGCAAGAGATCTCTGCAAAAGCCACTTCTGAGACAGAGTTTATGCAATTTGGTGCTAAAACTCTCAAGGCTGGGATCTGTCCCGCAGATGTGACTGCAGCCAYGGGCCTCTGGATGGACACAAAACCTCACCAGGCTGCAAGTCCAAGCCACATCTGTCAGCAAGTGATGGGCATGGGATAGAAGCAGATGCAGCCAGGATGCTGCACTGAGATCTTGTTTGAAGGGRCTGATGTAAATCAAACTCAACAAAACGTTTTGGAATAAATGACAGGACAAGCTGGCTGCTGTTCCATGGGGTGTGTGTTTGAGGCACCATACGGGGCAGGGGGTAAATGGGAAAGGGAGCAGCTCAGCAGTGCTGSTGTTGCATGCCTCCCCTCAGCCTCCTGCTGCTGAGACAACTGGATTAAATTAGAGTAGAATGAGGATTGGGGATTACAGAGAAACAGAGGCATCAACAGTTTTCATTTCTCCCCCACAATTATTTATAATGATATGAGAAAATGCAGAGCMGAATGGATTTGGCAAACGAGAAATAAGAGACAAACCACAGTATCCAGCACCAGCCATACTTTCCATGGCATKTCAGGCCATTGTTCCACATCACAAAGAAATTTCTGCAATTCTTGGATGTMTAGCATCTCTCATTTGATCCTGTTCAGGTAATTCTTGATTCCATGATGACATGTCAGTAATCTCTCATATTTAGATTATAGCAGCCTTTTTTCCCTTCTCACATGAATAGGTACCCTCTGTTTTGCCAAAGCAAAATGAACAAATGAGACACTGTCGTGACATCCCAGGAATAAAATTGAACAGTAAATCRCCCTTGCATGGAAAGCAGTTCTACAGCCCAGCAAAGCAAACTGCAAATGTCAGCTTGTTCACTGGTAATCCTGCTGAAAAGTAACCCAAAGAGCTGTATTAGTGTTTGCTAACTTGCTTTGACAGTGGCTTTGCTGAAGAATCACTGGACAAAATAGGCAAATGAGAAATGTTCCACATTAAAGACTGCAGAGATAAAAAGATAGATTTAAATCTCCAAAATAAGGCACCCAGTGGTATCCTCCATCCTCTTGAGACCACCAGGCAGTCAGCAGAAACCCTCTGAGAAATGTAGCATTTTTCATTCTTCACAAGCTTCCAGTTCCAGACATCCCTACTGCTGAAGTGGTACTGCCAATGAGAGTACCTTTTAAAACAGCAATCTCCTACCTTTGGCTTTTCTGATTCAATATGAAATTAAATAATTCAGCTTTTAATATACTGTGGAGCAAGGAGTCTTCCCCTGACTGTCAAACCTAATATGTGCTACAGCAGGTTTTAGCCAACAACACAGATTTTTTTTTTTTTTAAAAAAAAAAGCAAGTTTTCACTGTAAGTGCCAGCAAATGGATGAGTTACCCTCTTGAGACTGGGACTAAATTACGGACGGTCAGGGGGAGGTCAGCGAGAAAACCGTGCCTCGGCACTCGGCTGCCACTGCCAGGGCACACCTCTGACTCTGCCGCTCCATAAACTCTGCCCTTACATCCAGCCGTGCCTCCTTCCCGCTGAGCTAAACTGTGCCTCCATTAAAATTACCCTTCCTCTCCTCCCAGGGCTTCCTCTGTAATTTTCTGCTCAAAGTCAAAGGAAATAACAAAGCCAGGGCGGCTCTCCAGCCTCCCCCAGACATYGCTGCCCCCTCCATGACAGCTCAGGCTCCAGCCTCCGCTCTTCCCAGCAAAGCCACGTTGCCAGGGATCTTCCCAGCTGACTTCTCCTCCCAGYCTGAAGGATTTCCCCTGACTGGAGGCATCTGCAGGTAGGAACATACATTTGGGTCTTCATGACTTGCCTCTGACGTCCTCCCAGGGACTTTCACGTTTATGAAAAAATAGCCACTACCAGGGCCAGCATTAAAAGCTTTCAGCCAACTCAAAGAAAACGAGAGAAATTTAATTCTCTCATTTCCAGTCCTGAGGCAGTATTCTYGCTCTCTGTCATGTTTTACTGGTCTTTTTAAACTCAATGAGTTCTAGGGAAATGGGTGGAAGATGTGGAAATCCTTTTGCAAAAGCACCTGCCCACTCTTTTCCCCGGAGAGCCACACAGAGAACATTCTATTATTTAGTTAATTGCAAAGAAACAATTACAAAGGAACTTGGCAAACTCTCTCTAATCACAGCAAGACCCACTGCAGTCCAGTAAGTTCAGCAAATTAGCAAATAAGTGAATATAAAAGGGAAAGAATAACACAGCTCAAATTGCACTTCATTCGTTTGTTTTGTCACTCTTCATTTCTATTTAATAATTTAAGGTATTTCTTYGTAACATTCTGGTACATTTTGTCTAATAATGAAAGTTTACTAGCATGGAAATGCAATACGTGGCTATTAAATATCTGCCGAGAGAGGGAAGAAAATTGCCAATTCCCTGAGTAGATTATAGAGAGCCTGCTCAGGAAAAATTTCCAGGTTAGATAAATAGAAGGTTCTGCCACCATTTGTGTAAGTTCCAAATRAGGATTATTGCTCGATAATGGCAATGCAAGGCAATGTTTGTGCAGAACGTTGTAACTTGTACTTACAGCAATTCATGGACAATCCCATTTATTAAAAGCTCTTCTAATTTTCCATGCATATACCTGGAGGCCATTGAAGCACAGCCCTTTTTTACAGCAGCACTGTAACCAAGTGACAGATTTTACAGTATTTCATCCCCAAAGTCATATTACAGCAAAGACTTTCAAGCTGTGTTACATTACTGAGGCAAAGCCTCAGCTCTGCAGAGCTGACGGGCTGAGGAGGGGAGAGGAATGAGATCCGGGTGTGGGATTATCCAGCTGATAATGAGGGAGGTAAAACAGCCYTTGACTATGGACATGATGTCCCTCCTGCTTCTTCCCAGACCATTTTGAGCATCAAGATTTTGTGACACCTCTGTTCACTCTCCAAACAGTAGAAGCCCTAAAGGCGCCCATGTGGTACSCATGCAGCGTCTCTCAGGCACGTTGGCAAAACCATCCCAAACAGATGCACAGCTGGGACATTGAGCAATACCTGGAGCTGGGAAGTTGGGTCAGACACAGCTCTGGTGAGGGGAGYAACACAAACACTGCCCTGGAGAGCAGGGTGAGTACAAATGCTCTCAGGTTTGGAAAAGGTAACTGGGAGTGGCAGGATGTGGGAGGAGCGAGGGAACAGAGTGCAGCATAATCAGCGGACTGCACCAGAGCGTAATTACTGAGAACATGGCAACACTCCTTGCTCAAGGCTATTCCTTGAGCACAGAGAGAATGATTACTCAAAGCCACGTGTAACCACGTGTGCCAAACACACACAAAAAACARGGCAGGCACTGGGGAGGTGACATCAGCGCTGTCTCCACCAGGAGAGCAGCACTTCAGCAAACATTTGAAGGAAACATCTGCAGAATGGATGCAGCACCTGACCACCAACCATGCCTGAAAATCCTTCCCTAAGAACCTGGAGTCTAACATGGAAATTTTGCTCTTTGCAGGTCTTAATGATGACCATTGAATGAAACTTCTTTCCTTCCCTAAAAAAGTTAATATGAGGAAAGCAATTCATTAGCTGACAAACCTACCACAGAGAGATGCTGCAAAGCTGCAAGGCTTCTTCAATAGACCTGAGAAGGAATGCCCATGTCCTAATTCCTTCCAGAGCTGCACAAACAACAGTGCAGGTGAGGGGAAGCAGTGTCAGTAAACTGTTGGTAAAGCTGAACCCTGCACACCCCTGCTCTCCCTCAGCTGCTGCCAGAGCAGTTTTTTAAAGCAAAACCTCATCACTTCTTTCAGTTCCACCAGGCTTTGGTCAGGAACACTGATCATTCCTGATGAGACAACCTTGAACCTGTACTGGAAGAAAGAAGGAATTTCACACCCTGCATGTTTCAGAGTAATCTTGTTACTGTCCACTTAGGAAGTCAGGGATAAAAGGTCAGCYCAGGTGCAAAGAGAAGACAGGAGTGTGCAGCAGAGGCCAGAGTGGCAAGGAAAATACAGCAACAGCAGCACAAACACATCAACATTTGCTTACAAATTTTATTTCAAAAGTCAACAATTCAAAGAAAATATATGGCAATTGTTTTAGCTTTTCAAATATCCCAAAATAAATTACATAAAATACTTACAGAGTTCTAAATATTAAAAAGATCATAAAAATTAATGGTGCTCTCAAATGCCAAGATTAATCCTTTTCCATTTTGACTACATTAGAAGTTGCCTGTGCAGGGATTATTTTTACAGCTATGCAGGAAACAATACAGTTTTCAGGTCTTGATGCCTCAGTAAAGATTTGCAGACAAAGGCACTTAAGGGCAAAAAGAGATCAAGAGAGATAACATCCTATTAAAGTCAGATCTCTGTACTCACACAGTCTCTAACTAAACACTGCTGTAAACTGCAGAAGGCTGTAAGTCAGAGACATTATTCCATATCAACAGAATGGGAAGTGTGCTTTTAGATTACCTGCAGTACAGAGGAGTTTAATTTTAACTCAAGACCTTGATGCCCCCACAAGGTTTGCAAAGCTTTCTGCAGAGGTGTTTTTCAGAAACAGTGTGTTTGTATCGGGCCTACCTTGGCAGGTKTGAGCCACACTGTCCTCAGCTTCCTGTTGAGGAAAAATGCCATTTATTCAAAAATTAACTTTATCTYCCTTCTTTGTGCCACACTTCTTCCCAGATTTATGGGTGCTGGCATTCAGAAAACCACAGAGCAAAACCTTGTGTCAATCACTACTCCCTTCAACACATTCCATGACAGTGTAGAACAGAACAACATGTAAGGCTAGTGGAGGTTTCTCTTCCCACTGTACCACACCAAACTTTTGATTTGTGGGGAGCATATAATTACCTTCCAAAGTAAGATGYGAGTTTGAAGCCCGTCTCAAAGTTAGATTTTTGTCAGATTTTTGCTAGCTAGGAGATAGAACCCCAAATTTAGGACGTTTTAGACATTATCATTCATCCCAGAAAACATTTGCTTCTTTTTACCCTGATTTCTGTCTGTCTGGGTCATCCCAAGGTACTATCTCCCATTTATCTCACTGACAGTGCTACTGCTGGTCACAAGTCCTTCTGCTCTGTATCAACTTYCTAATACTTTCATATTGCTCATTACAGCACAGTAAAGTAAAAGAATGTGTTCTTTATTGTATTTGCTGTCCCAGTATTCCCTAYAGGATGACAGCCAGGCAGGTATTTGGTGTCAGTCTTGGTCCTGACACATTACACACTCTYCCCTTAATGTGTCAGACCTCATCTCTGGTTACTCTCTGGAGAGATCCATGACAGAGTCACAGTTACAGAACTGAAATATTATACACAACAACTCAGTGCAGCACTGCTTCCCTTTAGTAAAATGACCCTTCTTCTAAATGATTTCCAGAAAAAGAAGGAAACAGATCCCAGCTTCTACCAAAAAGATTCTATCCTTTTTATTTTATGTATTTTTTTATCCTTCCTGCAGATGACAGTCATGTGACTGAAGCACCAGCAGGAAAAAATTTACCCATTGGGAGTGCAAATGACATTCTTCAGACTGCTTTGGGTATGGAGAGCTCCCAAAACTGCCTTTGGAAATAGCACAGGCAGCATTTCCACCGATGGGATTAAATGAAATCAGCTGCATTGTGCTGCAGCCATCCAGTTTCCTCTTTGGCTGCAAGTACTGGCACAAACTATGATAAGCCTCAGATAGTGCTTCATTGAAATCACAGAACTGAGACAGCCCTGACTTATTGGTATTCTGCAAAACGGTGGTGACTGATTTTTAATTTAGAAAAGAAAAGGTGATAAAAATCTTGTATTTAAGAATGTGCTTTCTGTTTACAGGAGACTTTATTACTCTTTGATGACAAAAAAACCATTAGTGTTTCCAGAAAACCTTCACTGTGTGCTGRTAAAATTAAATTCCCCTTTCAATAAATATCATGGTTTATCTAGTTCACCTTAAAAAAACTCGACACACATTTTAATGTCTTTGAAGGATGTTGGTACCACAGGAGGAACTATCCAGTCAAAARTACAGTCTGCATAGAAGATCTGAAAAGACCCCTCTGATTTTATTCTCCACAGCCCATCATGTCTTTGGTCTTTCCATGATCATGATATTGTGAGTGCTTTTTCTGGATGCAATTCTAATTTCTGTTACAATCCAACCTACCCCTTCTGTTCCCAAACCCAACTGCATGGATTAGCTACGAGTGATGCAGTCAGGTGAACATTTCAGACAGTTCTATCTCCTGTGTCAAATGTTTTCATATATTAGAGTTGACCCCGCAAAACACACATAATTTGTGATTTTTTAAGCAGAAAAAGCACTCACAGGGTATCCCTTCACAGCACACTCCTGCTATTACACACGTGCCCTGACAAATCCAAAAAGCTGATTATGTCATCAGAYATTTCAACACAAAACAGTACAATACATATCATCATACACAAACARGGAAAAGGTCAATAAATAAGAAAACCCAGCTGATACAGTAGGCCTAGAATAGSCCTATGACAAAGAAATGGCTTTCTAAAAGCCTTTACAAGGTCTGCACAGGCTGTAAAAGTTCAGTATAAAAATAAAAAAGATATTAACACATGACCCAGTAAAAATTTTAAATAGTGAAGCACAGATAAAAAATACCAATTGTAGCCCTTTSCATACATGGGCTGAAAACTGGAGTTATGTCATTGACCCCTTTCTGATTAAACAAATCATTTTAGTTTACCTGAAACAAAACTGTGATATSAAATAGCTTAAGGCTTTATTGCTTTCATTTAAGTTTTGCCACTGAATTTATAATCCACATTGTGAAACWAAACATTAAAGGGTTTTGGTTAAGTTTTCAAATCAAACTCTCTGTGTACCAGGAAGGTAAGGTTACCAGTCAGCAGCTTTTACCCATAAAGTCTGTAAATAACATACCAAAGAATTACTCATTTATGGCTGAAATCATGTCAACTGTCATTAAAAAGGGGCTCATATTCCCTCTTTTTTCATCTTTGATATGCTTGGTCTTGGTACAAATAGTTTTGTTTGTGAATCAAATAATTCAAGATCACCAGAGCCTGTTACCAAAACTCAGAAGTGGGAGTAGTTTTCTTCATCAGCAATGGAGAGACAATGACAATGTCATCGGAGTCATCAGAGTGAGCCTCATCCAGGGGCACAGAGGGAGCAGAGCAGGACCTGCCTGAAATCATTACAGCAAACAARGTATCAATAAACAGCACTGACCAAAACAAGCCCTTGTGGGATTCTCTGAGCCATTAAGTTTCCAAGCTTACTTGGAAGCTCCAGTTACGGTTTATTCCGATCTATCTTTTTCTGCATGGAGCTATTTCTGTTCTTTTACAAACCAGCCTGCACAGCAAGGCTTGAGCTGACACCCTGACCATGCATGATCATGCCTATTGCCTTTAAATCTTTGCAAGGGGTCACACACCACCAAGTAAAGCCATTTGGTACCAAAGCCATCACAAGTCTAAAACAAGTATTTATTAAATGTCCAGAAAAGGAAAAATTGACCCAAGCTTAAGGTAAGCAGAAAGGTCACAATGAGAACTTGACTCAGCTATAGATGGAACAAAGGGAACTGGATGCAAAAAAAGGTAGAAGCTCTCAGCCACTGTCTTTAACCCTTATACAGGTAAAATATTCAAGATATTATTCACATGCTRTCCTACCATAACAATAATAAAACTGTGACCACAGCATTGGTTTTTATCCATTATTTTTCATTTTRCTTGTCACTTTTCTGGATGTGTTTCTATGCATCTCATCCATTCCAATGTTTGAAGAAGTATTCAGGCTGTGAACAGATACTCCTGATGATTCTAGTAAAGACTGGAGAATCAGAGGGATAAAGTCCCTGACACATGAAGAGCAGAATCTGCAGCTTATAACCCCTCTGCAAGAGATGTAGGAACTAAATGATGACTGCTATTAATACCTTCTAGCACAATATCCTCCCCTCAGCTATTAATACCTTCTCACACAATATTCTTCCCTCAGCTCCACTTATTTTTCAGTTTCAAACATAAATTCTCTCCAAGTGAAAAGATTCTCCCAGAGAAGAAAACAAATCAACAGAACCCGTGGCAGAAAGAGGAAACAGGCAAGAAGCCACAGTCTGAGGTTTTGACCYGAGCTGGAGGGCACAGAGCGAATATTACCTGGGGAGAACAGACCTGCCACGGGTCTTGTAGTGRAATAAGAGATTCCTGACACAGGAAAAAAAATCTCCTGGTATGGAAGAGCAGACATACACAGAAACTGGAATGTGGAMTAAAGAAAAGGGACCACAACTGGCACAGGAATAGGAAAAGAGTGACAGACAGAGCCTGTGAATGGCAACGGGGAATGCAGGGGAGCCATTACATTGACCTCAGCCTACAGAAGCAAGGAAACACACCATTTTCTAGTTAAATAAAATTCTTCTCTGCACCAGTCAACAAATAATGTCAGAGTTTTTTGGGGAGAATTATGAGACAGTAGTACTGGTGATACAGAGGAGCAAAGGGACCTGCCAAAACCAGGCATGATAACCAGAAGMAGCAGCTCCAACAATAAACATATTAGACATGAAATGGTTTAATATTATCCACATGACTTTGATTATATCCTGCTYTTGACGTATGAGATTTTCTTGTCCTCTTCTTCAGTTTGGTATCAGCTTTATCTTTGTGTTTGTGAAGGGTAAGCACTGATAAGAGTTAAGAGTTAGATGTAAATTCATTAAGATTCCAAAAAAAGCCTGAAATGAAGTTAACAGTTGCAGCCAGAGTGGTCAGTAATATGCAAAGAGAAACACTGCCCTTAATCAAGATTGCTGTGCATGTACAGAACATATTCTTCCTGCTTGTCACTCCCCTGACAGAACAAATCAAAACACCAAGTTTCACAGGCTGAATCGTTAATTTCTGTTCCATTTCACGGGAAACAGCAGAAATGGCTTTATAAAACCTCCAAGTTCTGAAGACAAGCAAAGCAGTACTGAATAATACACTCATTTCTTTTTAATTGTTTTTTTCTTTTTCTRGAAWATRSAGAGACACCTAACGTGATGCAAACAATGAATTATAGGTCTGCAATGCTAGACCAGGATTAYATACATCCATTCTAGCAGATGTACAAGGTTTTTATACAATTTCATCTTCCCTATTGTTCTTAAAATAATGTCAAAAGGGTAGTGAATTGAAGTGATTTATTGCAATAYAGACATTGACTGAAACCATAAGATCATTTTAAGACCTAGAGGTCATAAAAGGCAAGTTTGGACTTGGGACAAATGAAAAAAAAAATTGTTCAACAGCTGCATAATTGAAAGCTATAAGAATTTGATTGCTTTTAAATCACTCAGCTGCTCAACAAACTCCTTGTCTCATCCTTTCCGAGCTGCAGGATGACCACTGAAATCCCAAYTCACCATCAAACCCCATTTTTGCCATCTTGGGTTTTTACATCAGTTATCAGCTCAGAATGGCAGGGGTGGACTTTTAGTTAACTTTAGTTCAAGCAACAGAAATCCACATGGCAAACAAACAAAAATCACTGAGGGGTTGCATTCCTCCTCCTTCCTTTAGGAGGTTTTGCCCAATTCATCTTTTGGGAGAGTTTGGTTAAACATTTCAGTGCCAGGACCTAATTCTTCAGAGAGCTCAGTGCAGTCTCCTGGGCAGTTGTGCAGTTCCAGAAGCACATCCCCAGTGTGCCCCACCACAAACCATCTGGATACATTCTGTACTCATCCCAGAGTCTGAAAATGTCTCCCACGTTCATAAAATCAGCAGCAAACAAAATCTGCTCTGCCCCCAATTGCTCCTTTTTTTATATTCACTAGGAAAAGACAGCAAGGAAGAGTTKGAAAGTATGGTTTTCTCTCTCTCTCTTCCAGTATAAACTATTCCAGAACTTCTTCACTCATCAACTTGTCATCATAATCTCCAATAAAACTTAGCTTTGGAGACTTCATAGCTAGACAATGACTGTGCTCTGCTGGTRTTCATGTGACTGTACTGGACTTGCTTCATCTTATACTCTTCTTTGGATCTTAGAGAGACTATGCACATTTAAGGGATTCTTCCTCCTTGAGTAGAATTTCACAACTGATTTACTCTGGGTTTAGAGTGAGCATGCTAATAATGACTGATGCAGTAGAACTCAGGCAAAACAGGGTGTTGAAGCAATTTTTTTTCCCTGGATACTATCACCAGACATAATTAAAGTCACTCAAAACTCAAACATCTTCAGAAGCARGCACTACCTACTCCTTCACAAAGTAGAACATGCCTCTGAATATGGAACACAGAGAAGTTTCTCAAACACATTTTCTTCCACTGAAGTGTTACCTCTGTTTTCACAACCCTTGCAAATCTGGCTTATTCCCCACCTCCTATCTTAGAGAAACAGCCTCACTGCTTACAGCATTCTGTCTCTGAGCAAGCCTGCAGGGACTGGCAGCTTTTCATTGACAAAAAAACCAAATCAGTGTTTCTCAGGTCACACTCAAAGTTGCTCTGTTTYTCCCCAACTGGTCCATAAAAGCCTAAAATATCCTACTCTAGACAGAACCAGTCCTTTTCAATTTCTCTCCTTTAAAGCTGCATGGCTAAGGCTGTCTTATCTGCAGCATTGTTCTGCCTTTCTCACTCAGTACTTCTAACATCCTCCTAAAAGCCTCCTTGGCTTTAACTCCATCTTCTCACAAACAGCAATAAAGAATTCAAGAAGAAAACCAAATGGCACAAGAGCCATAAAAGAGACAGACTTTCTCAGTTTGTATTACAGTAGTACTCGTTGGCAAGGTTATCCAGGACCTCATTTCTCCCCTTACTGCAGCAACTGAAGACTGCTGAAAAAARCATGACTAAATGCACATGGCTGCCTAGGATGGCTCTTTTAAGCAGATGTCTGTCTGTCTTCTGCAGAAACCAAATCAGGGTGGTAGAAATGCTCTCAGTTGGTCTATAGCTAAGGGCCCAAAATGTGATGGGAAGTACCATACATCAGCTACAGGGCTGGAAAGGAAGCAGAGAGGCAATATAGAGGAACACCACGTTCCCTCAGTAATTACCACTCACACCAGAGAGACCTTCCAAACCACAGCTGGGACAAAAGACACAGCACTGGGAAGGAGCTGGTACTGAGACTGTCAGAGCTTCCATTTTTTACGTAGGGAACTRCATGTGCCAGTAGAAGCAACGTCAGCAAATAAAGCCACACACATGGAGTACATTGATGCACTTGCACGTGCAGATGTTCTCTATAAAACTGTGCATGCACCCACTCAGARCACACAGACTTTGGGACACAGGGGAGGGAGATTACCAGGAGSAGACGATGTCAGGACTGGAAGAGGTCTCTGGAGCGCTGCTGAGACTGGTCTCTTCTCTGTGATGGAAAGTGCAGGATCTGCTTTTCCACTGGGTCCACTGGGCACAGAGGATCTGCAAAGAGACACTCTCAGAGCATGAGGCACAGAAAGTGTTTGCAGCCTCCCTTCCAAGGGTGTGCTGAAAAGTTTCCACTGTTTTTGCCGTAGCACCTGCACAATTGAACCCAGACACTAAAGGGAGGTGGCAGCCATGTAACTCTCCTTGTAACCATGGCAGCCAACATTARAAACTTTCAGAGCAGTAAACCCCGGAGAGAAAGGAAGTATTTTTCAAGGCAGAGTCACCATAAACCAAAGCAGTAATCAAATCACTGCACCCCCCCTGAGCTAAGTTACCTGATGGCATTCTAGCTATTCCCTTTCCTTCCTCCACATAACCCTTAACCTGCACATGTCAGGGCTTCAGATTCACACATTAAATAAATGTATAAGCAATCTGTGTGATARCAACAATAACCTTTCTTTTCCAAAGAGTAATTATTTTACTTTTACTCACTGCTACAGGAAGAGAACATGCAGCAGGACAGGGGAAGACTCCTGCTGCCACAAAGCTCCTTTTAGTTGCCCRTCTTTTGAATCTCCTCAGGAACAAGCACTCCCTTGTCTTTTTCGTAACAATGGCCTTGTTCTCCTTCTCTGCCAAGGAACCCACACTAAAATTCTACTAAAAAATGTTCCTCTCCTGTAATAAAAACGATTTTGCTACTTACTTACCTGTTCTGAAGCAGTTCTGTACGTGCTAAGTGAGCCCTGAAAATGGACTGGATGAATGTCACAACCTYATCCCTCTCCTCGCAATCAGAGGAAAAGCTCAAGGAGTCTGACATGGAAGACAGGCAGGAGTTCTGCAAAGCAATCAGATTAAAGAAAACTGACCTTTTACAGATTGCACAGAAGCTTGACAGAACCTTTCACAATCTCATTCTTGATTGTGAAACTGGCAGTAGAACAAACACCCTCATCTTTTGGTCTGCAGTTTTTAAGGTTCTGTAAGACTAAATCAGCAGGAAATTCAAATCTGATCACCATATAAGCTTTGAAGCATCAGCATTSAATTAATGAAAGAGCAGACACCTGCAAGGAAAGTTCATTTATTTTCCAGGAAGGAAACCTTTTGAAGATGAAGGAGGTAAGACAACCTTCATAATGGATTTATCTTCTGCYTGTATCAAGCCAAGTATTCAGTCCTCCTACATCAGGCCAGTTTACCAAAATCAAAGTATGTAAAGTGCAATCAGATGGCCAATCTGGATGGAGAATTACAAATTAACTTTAGCCTGCTAAAGGTCCAAAGGATGTTTGTATAACTTGGCAAATGATTTACAGAAATTTTTTCATATTCAGAACTAAATAATCTGGAGCAAAGTGGACATGATAGAGTACACCAAGCCTTTGGTTGTGAATGCCACATCAAGAATCTTTTACTTTTCAATCCAATAAAAGATGCTTTCCAGATTCTTATTTTCTTAAGTTCAGTGAAAAAAGTTTATCTATTACTCCAGTGATTCAGTAGAGAACACTTGAGAGCAGGTACAGTTTCCAACAGCACTCCAAATTAAAGAGTTAAAGGGTGTGTTATCTGATGAGGGAACCAGGGGAAAACAAAAAGACCTGTTTACAGTCTTATAAGCTACAAGGCTGAGAAGTTACAGCTTTACTTCTAAGAAAAAGTGTSAACTACAGACAGAAGGAAAGCCAGGGAATGAGCTCAGTCTGTTTCTAGAATTACAGTGGTGTTGCCAAGCAGCACATTAAAACAATGACCAGGTGATTCGAGGAATTAAGCCTGGAAGTAAAGTCCTTTACATTCAAGACAAACACAGAGTGATGCTGGGACACCCATCTGCCCCCACAATTACCTTGGTGTGAGGCTTTGCACCATGCACCCCATAACTCAGCAGAGCTTTCTGTCGAGCCAAATGTCCTCTGAAGGCTGCCTGGAGCACAACARCTGCCTGGCATGGAGAGAAGTAGCCATTAGCTCCTCTGAAAGATAACCCAGAGACATTCCACCTCCAGGGTCAYCTCTGGGGTTTAAATTCCACCTGGGAGGTGTTCAAGACTGATCCTATCAAATGCAGTGAAGTTGTAGCTGCCAACACCAGTCTATATTTCACCAACACAGCCCACATTAGATTCTGGCTGCCCAGAGGGCTCTGTGATGCCTGGCACAATCAGAAACCAAGCCAAGCCTGGAACACCTAGGGGTGATTACACTCCCTTCAGAGATTTTACTGGGCTGTAACCAACAAAAAGCATTTAGATGCAAACCAGCATGGTTGGAATTAGTTCTAATTTCTGAAAGTGGGATTTTTAATCTCCTGGAAGAAACAAAGGTAAGATGCTACATTGTGCTATTTGAAAAAAACTGKTTAATCAAAAGCTTTCTGCAAAAGATTTCTCAAGAAGTGACTGTTTCACAAACCTGTCAATGTCTTCATAATTCTCAGACATTTCTCCTTAGCAAAAACTTCAAATCCTACTTCAAATCTTTCTGAAGATTCATCATAAAGAAAATTAAATCATGATTAGAATTGTCTCATTCAGAAAAAACTTTCTTTCCTGTCTGTTGGTATCAGATTTTTTTCACAATTATCAGAAGTTTTCATCTTGCAGAAGGTACCAAGTACGGAAAACTTGATACCAAAAGGGAAACACTGACAAAATACATGAAACAAAATCAGGACATCAGAAGGAGGATTACAGCCAGCCTAAAGAAYAAATATGGTCTTGGCTGTTTGTTCTTTGATACACATTAAATCTGTGGTATTGTTTTGTTGGGTATCATAAATACACTCACCTCATCCAGAGCAGTTTTTTCTTTCTGAAATGAAAAATACCCAGATTAATACTACAAATATATGCAAGTTTTAGCTAATAAAGATTTTCCAAATTTTCCCCAACAATTAGAAGACACAGAAAACCCTTGTCCCAACCTCTGCCAAACTCAAACAACAAACTTAAGGAAATAAAAATCTTTTAAGATGTCTGGATAGGTGCTAAAACAAAAGTAAGATTCAGAGGGGGGTGTCCTTGCTGTTCCCTGATAGGATAATCTCACCTTGTTTTTGTACATCTTCCAGCATCTCTGGATGATTTTGGCTGCTTGTTCTTTCCTGTGATTTTCTGTGCCTTTAACTGTGCAGACTGGTGGAGCCTGCAAAGGAGAATCCCCAAGTTAGTACAACAAAGACACAAAACTGTGAGGGAAATGGGTTACAAATGACTCAGGAAAATCAGCACCAGAGCTCATCCTGCCTGTAGGGCASAAGGAAGTTCAAGAGGAAACTCTTGGTTCGGAATCCTGCTCATGTTCAAACTCATCATGGAGATGACTGTTAGAGTGAAACACATCCCTGCCCCCCTTTCAGCCCTCAGCAGGGCATGGGAATRGAAAACTTTCCATTTGCACACACTCCTATTTTTCCATGCATTGCTAAGGCACTGTTTTGTGGATCAGAAATGATTTGTATGTTAGCAACAGACTGAGAACAAACACCAGGTTACCTGATTGTGCAGTTCTCCAGAAAAGACAAGTATCAATTAACCAGGGAGGTCTCTAATGTCTCATCCTGGCAACTGTGGCCCCACAATCATCTCTGTAAGCTTGCTGACACCAAGCTTGTATAAGTTGGCATAAATCTACTCTTCTATTTTGATGAAATTAATTAGAGGAAAAAGAAAGTAATCAAGAACAAAACAAGATTTTGGTTCCAGTTATATCTCCCGAGGTGTGGTTGCATATTCCACTTCTCACCATATKATCCTTTTGATCCCTAATTATCCCACTCTAATTGCCATACCTCASTTGCCAAACAAAAGTTAACTGCAAGTTTAAAAGACTAATTTAATTTGTTGGTGTAAAATTTTAACTAGAGGAACAAGAGATTTTATARACCTTAAAAAAAACCTCTTGATTCTGTGAAAAGGATTTATTTATAACCTAAAACCGCCGAGCTACGGGCTTAAGTTTAGCAAATGGATCRTGTCATATTAAAAATGACAACCTACTATTAAAATGAAAAATCGGTAGGAACTTAGTGATAATTACAAATAATGGGAACATTTCAATAAATGGATGGTTACTGGCCAAGAATATATATAGTCTGCAGAGGAAAAAAGGAGCTGTTTGTTGGCTGTTTTTAAAGACTCCAGTTATTTGGTATTCAAAACATCCTCTAGCATCCATGAGCCCATAACACACAGAAAAGAACCTACAGAATTGCACAGTATATCAGAAAGCAGAACCCTCTTAAGCCACTGGACATTTTTATTAGCATTTTTTACTGTGTGTATTTCAGGGTCTATTTATTTTTAAGTGCGAATCAAAATCCCCAGTAATAATTTCCAAGCAGTATTTAATGAAATGAGATTAACATGGTCACAGTGCCTCTGAAAGCAGCTCTGTCAGTGCCCATCCATCTCTACTGGCCAATTACCACACTTGGAAGAGAAGATTGCAAAGATATCAAGTTCAGACATATTTCAAAAAAAAMCCCAGCTGATTACAGAGCCACATTTCAGACTGTCCAGGATTAACAGATGCACAAATATATTTATTAGGTACCAGAAAGAAGAAGTTATGAATACCTCAGCTCTAGGAAAAYCTCACTTGAAAGGGGATAAGCCTTTATTTCATTGTGTTGACATCTTCCTTAATTCTTGACTCAAATATTATGTTCTAGCAGCAGCAGAATTAAAACCCCCTCAATTTTCATGATGATTAGTGCTCTACATCCTGTAAATCATCCCATGAAAAAGCACCTCACTTCCCTTCTAACAGAAAAGCAAATGAGTATTTTCTGACTGCACAGCACTTGCGCCTTAAGTGACCACTTGGCCAGCAGAAAAAAAAAAAGCACTGAAAAGGGATTTTTATCTTTTGCCAGTCTTCAGTGTCTCCATCCTTTAACTATCAACTCCTACAAGGCCTCCCTCCCTCTACAAAATTGGACTGAAATTAGGCAATGGCCACAGATGCTATAAGAAGATAAAAGCAACCACACATTTTAAATTTTTTTAAGTATTGGAAAAGCCCCAAACACTTAAGAGTTACATCTTTTGCAACATTACACAGAACAAGAAACAAAGCAACAGCAAGGCACAGATTCACTAAGAGAACAGCTTCAAAAACTCCCCAAGTTGCAGCAGTAATTATTGAAAAAACTTATTTCCAACAAATATTGGGAGTTAACCATCATTATCTCTACGACAAGATTTAATGCCTCTATGAAAAGACACAACTAGCAGCTATTTAGACTACCAGCTCAATTTGAAATCTATCTCTGGCACAAGGGAAAAAGAAAAACACAAACAAAAATGTGTCTGTACCTTATTAAGCTTTTCCACTGTATCTTCTGCCATTKGTGTTTTCTCTTCCTCCAATTTTAACTCCAGTTTCCCTACTTTCTGTGTCAGGTTCTGGATTTCCTCACTATGGTTGGAAAAGCAAAGATATTTTTAGCTTAAGAAATTTTCTGTTTTCCTTGCTTTGAAAATACTGAACCTATTTCATAAGAYTTGGTTGCTTTGGGTTTATTTTTTAAGGCCAAAGCAGGAAACTGTTCAGGATGATACCTGTTCTCATAGTAACAGACACATAATATCAATGCTCAATCTGTGATAGCACAGCCTTATGTTAAAATTAAGAAGTCTCAAGGTTACTGTGGCAGCCTCGATGCTATTAATAATGTGTTTAGATCTGCTACAGTTTCATATTTGTCAATCAAAGTCCTTTCTCACAAAACAACATTGAAATCCCTTTTTTTTCCTCCCTTGCACAGGATTAGTTCTCAGTTATACAGAATACATGGAGCAACTGGAATGACACAGAGGCAATGGTCTAGAAATGCAGGCTAAGGTAAAGAGAGCACAAATTTTTCCTAGAGAAAAAATGTCTGACCCAAACACAGAAGTTTTTTTCATTTTTCTTATGAATTTTTATTATAATTTACATCATATTTTTACTGTACAACTTAGTCTTCCACTTCCTCTAAAAGCACTCTACAGAATTCTTCCCCTAGTAACTTACTCCATCCCTCCAACAGTTCTGCTTAAAGGAATTCCCAGTTTCTTGCAGTTCATCTGAACTCCTATAGATTTTGAACCACTTCAAAAGAGAATTACACTTGAAGAGATTTTCTTTTGTTCTGAAAGGATCTATTAATACAAATTTTTTTTACCTTAAAGTCTGCTCTTCTGCACTCTTTTCTTCCATCTTATTCTGCCACTTCTGCAGCTCCAGCTCCACTTCAGCCTTAGCCTGCAGTAACTGCTTGATATCTAATCTACAAAGGTATAAGAAAATCTGAGTGATACTTAAGACATTCACTCTTTCACAGAGTAGCTGGGTTTTATATAAACATCTAAATATATCAGGTTTTCTCAAATTGATGAAGTAACCAAATGTTTCATTTTTCCTTTTAAACAAAACAAAATGCAAGCACACATTGCTGAAGAGTAAAAGGCCTCCTCACACGCTCTCACTGAGCATTTTTGTTCAGAAGTGACAGAGGAGRCAGTGTCACCARCACATCTCCCTGTGTGCATGTCCTTGCCCACAGAGCTCAGATTAACCTGSCCCAAGGCCCTGACACACCAAACCAGCCCAAACAATACAAAATGCAAATCAATCCCTTATGGGGAGAACAGGAGCCACAGCACATCTTAGWGCAGAAGGGAGGTTTGAATGGAGAAAGTAGGAGATCAGGACAAAACACATTGGAATAAAAAAAAGCCACAAATTTTTACAGCACAATACRAGCAAGAAGTGCTGCATAAACACATAACTCTTCAAAAGGTTTTCAGTGCAAATGGCAGAAAAATAAGCCTTGAAAAATGTGCTAGAAACAAGCAGAAATTCTCATTTTCCATCCTCTGGCTTTTCTTCTGCAGTGTAATTTTATAAAGCGAGTAGGATTAGAAAGAAGCTTTTGAAATAAAAATTGAAAGGACCCTCAGAATTAATTTTCTTGCAGAAAATATGAAGTACTTATTACATCATTCCACAATATGATCAGGAATAATTAAATAATTCACACCTACAGAAGAACACCCCAGACAAGAGCCATACTTACTCTTTACTGAGCAGGAGATTCTGAAGTGTTTTCCTATCACTCTTCAGTTTCTTCACCAGCCTTTGGAGGCGACAGCATTCCTCAACATGGTCTAAATGTTGGGATGCTGGATGATCCAGGTCCACAGAAGGTGAAGATGACACAGCAAGCACTTGTGATGCCTCACTGTCAGCTGATGACACCCTGGTGCTCTCCATGGCACACACTTTCTAAGCAGGATAATTTACATGGGAAACACAGGAGAAAATGAAAATTAAATTTAGCATGTAATTACTTCATTTAGGAGAAAAGATCAAATGGAAGTGAATTCTAAAATGTGCATCTATATGTAACCAATATGATAAAAGCCAACAGGGAGGAAGGGCTCATGCTGCAGGCACCAGGTTGTGTGCATGAGGCAGAATGCACACAGCTCAGACATTGAAGGACAACAWGCCAAGAGCACAAGGCAGTGGTTCTGCATTTTCTGCTCCAAGACAGGWAAGAAAACCACTTAACTATGACCACTTACTTTTTCTAGATCYGAAATCCTCCTCATCAGCCTCTGTCTGCTCCACTCACTGTAATCTAAACACAGCAACAAAGCTTTAAAAATGTAACTACATCAATGGGGCAACATTGTTTTTTTCTTTTTGAAACTTCTGTCCATATTGAAAGACCAGTTAAAGATCTCTGAATGCCAACTTTAACTATCTAGTGATGAAAAAATGAGAATGGGCTTAAAATATCTGACTTCTAAACAAATTAGCTTGAAAATCAATATAAGCCATTCACATTCAACAGTTTTCAACCAGTGAGAAGCAGTTTTCTGAGCTAAATGTTAAATCCTCTATCAATTCCATTTTGGAATTCTCAGGAATAATAATAGAGGAAACACAGGTCTGACTGGAGAAATCAGACAGAGACTCCTGAGAGAAAGTCTCATTCCAACTTTGCCACTTCTGAATCTTCATCTTCGTAGAAATTCTCTTTGTAGGGTCCTGCTTTCACACATCTTTCACATGTACCCAAATCCCTTGCCCCACATTCACAGATATTTCAGCACATACTTTTTGTTTTACTGGGAGGAGGGGAACTGCTCAGCACATGATCCAGATCTTCCTTCAGCCTCCGATTCTCAGTCTGCAATTCCTTGATGTTCCTGGATAATCTCAGCACAGCAGCATTCAGTGCCTTCAGTCGTTTTTGGGTGTCTTTGCCCTCTGTACTTGGAAAAGGGGTCAAAACCAGAAYGTTAACTTAAAAGCAGAGAACAAAGAAGCAGCATTAAAAAGAGTGGAGCAGTCTCACTGTTCAAGTCAGCTAGCTAAGTTAACTGTCCCAGTTCCCCCACAATAGCATTTCTCATTTTATATTTTAACATTTTTCACTTAGGGAGTTACCTACTCTTTTCTGAAAAAGCATGCAAAGACCATCTCCCTCAATACTTTCACAATTGTTTTGTGTCAAAAAGACACTTTGAAACATTGAAAAGTTATTTATTACTTTCACTTCCTCCCCCAGTCAGTGTCATTTATGCATAAACAAGGGTACTTGTATGAGTGTTATTCATTTTCTGTTTGTTTTGTAAGCCAACCTTATATTGCTTCACCAGCACTCTGTGAACCTCGGATTTAAAAAATACTTCAGCCAGTATGAGACTCCTCCAAAAAACTGTCCAGCACAGAGAGCCAACCTGCAGGCTCTRAATTGCTTTTGTTCACTAACAAACATTGAGATTGAGAGAAAAAGAGAGCCAGACAGAGATGGAATAACTCTCAAACTCTCAARCAAATAAGGCTGTCCAGATGTCATGGATGACTATTCACACAGCTGTCCCACGCAGAAAGGAAAAAAAACCAAACCAGTAAAAATCAAAACACAACACATCACCAAAACAGGGCAGTGACAGAAATGATAGAAATGGTAACCATACCACTCAGTGACATTATTTTAGCCTCATCAAAACTTGAATCAATGAATTTCAGACCAGGGTTTGAAAGGTTCTCTAGTTCCTAGCTAAAATTGGATACTACAGCTTCACATATAAATAACCATACTTCAGCATTAACACTGAAAAGAGGAGCCAAATGCCATTCACTTCAGCCAGAACTAATGGAGACAAGCATTATGAAAGAAATACTCTCCAATAACTCTTTCTATGTGTCTGAGTCTTGACCTTCAACATGATTTATTATTTCAGAGCTCAGCCTCTCAAGCAGAGACTGACAGTCACATAATGGAGAGAGACTGCCCTGACCACCACTTTTKGAAGCTATGAATAAATGAGGACAAGGAAGAGACCTGATGACTCATTTTCACCTGTAAATAAATTAGGTGTGATGGCTTAGAGCCTCGAGAGGCTGGTCACTGCATCCCTGGGCCAAAAGACTTATTTTTTTAAAACAATGACARAACAAATTGCAGTTTTCAATCCACAAGCAATGCAAAAGAGGGAACACAGGCAGTATAAATAATGRCCCTAAAGATTTCTCAAACATTTCTATTAATCCAAATAATTACAACCAATGTTAAGACAGTTGTCTGTACTTAACACTAGGAGGTCAAGTATATTTTGAAGTGGTGTGGTAACAAATTTTACTGTCCTWCAAGACACTCTTACCCTCTTCTCAAATAATACTTGCATTGATGCTTTTTATTTGCTCTCTTAGTGGAGTTCTGTCTTTGCCTTTGTGCTTTTATTGCCTCTGCAGACTGCCCACCCTCCCCACCATGCCCACACTTGCACACCAGTCACAARCACCAGTACAAGCTTCTCTGACAACAACATAATAGTCTGTCTCTCTGTACCAAAGAAAAATAATGTCTACTCCAGGAACATTTTCTTTGCAGCACATACTCTAGAGCAAGATGCAGAACTGACTCAAGCGTGAAATGCCAAACATCCAGTGAGTTTGTTTCAATTACCAATGATGCCAGAATAGGTGTGATTATGAGGGAAGATGTAACAGAGATAAATTTTCAGTGCTATCGTGTACTTTTTAAATAGCTCTGGTATTTTCCCACATCCACAAAATGATCTATCTACAAGAAAAAAATGTTTCTAGGCTGTGAARCCAACCAAACCAGTATCAAAAAGTAAATCCAGCAATCTAAAACTGTTCCCATGCAGTAGTTTTCCATCAGTTAAAGCACCACACGAGTGATATATCAAACAGATGCATGCAAACAATTGCCTCAAAAGAATTAAACATACTTTTTCCTCATAGTCTCTGACTTGGCCAGGAGGAGCTGGAGGCGATGAACCTGTGAAATATAAATTCCATTAAGGAGCATTAGCAATGTCAGMTTCCACAGCAATACATTTGTTCATTAGGTGAAAATCAGAACAAGAYTCTTTGGGTAGTAGCAGAGCTAATGATGCCATCACTGAAAATCAGGCTACTGTTAGATTTGCTTCCATCTCAACATTACACTTATGGATGTACAGCAGGTTCTTTATTTGCCCTTCTTCATTAACACATTCAACTTCTTGAAGAAAAACATTTTTCAGTACATACAGCTGGAGCTGAGACAGGTGCAGCTAAGATATAAGAAACCTATCTTAAACATTCCATTTACATTTAGACTCAACAACTGAACAGCTTCCAGCCCTGCATGCACACTGAAAGACCTGCCAGATGTACCTCTTCATAGTAGGTTTCCATGGCTGACCTCACTTCTTCCAAATTACTGGTCTTCATTTCTGCCTGGAATTCGCTGAAAATAGAATAATAGAGAAAATAATCCAGTCAGATCAGCAAAGACACTGCAAGACCTGGTGACTCATAATTTTTGGGTTTATAATTGCTGATACATTCTTGGAGTTCATTAAATTGTCTTTAGGACTAGAAGAACACAAATGAAAAATAACATGATTTTTCAATTCTCTTTATTAGCTCATCCAATACAAGCTCTAGCCCCCCTGCCCCCTCAAAGTCATACTTAATAGTGTTGTCTTTCTCCTTGCACTGCTCTTCGAGCTTGACAATCTTCTGCTTTAATCCAGTAACCACCTACAGAAAGAACAAAGAGCTCATGAGTCCTTGAATAATCTGTCTCTTCATAGAAGGTCTATTCCTGTCTGCCCTGTCTTTATAAATTATACCTAATCAAATACACTTATTTCTAYATATTTCAGTACTTGGTAAATCATACACATCTGCTACCCTGTGARGAACAGAACAGTGATGAAATCAGATGCCTGATTTGTATCTGTGGTAACATAACCAGCTTAAGAATATGTATACACAACCATAAAATAAAAACAACATTGCCCACTACCTGGCCAACTTCAAAGCAGCAAACAATAGGGAGAATACTCTCTAAACAGACTCAAGATCATGACAGAGAAAGTTCCCTAAAATAATGTTAATTCTAGATCTTTGTTACTGACTTCTTACCTGATTACAGAAATAAAGTTTACATGATTCCCTAATGGATTACTCTTTCTGACCTAATTTTATCTTTTTCGGTAGTGTTTCACCTTAGCAAGAGGAAAAAGAACAAATGAAAGCCAAAGGTAATGGAGTCTTACCCATCCATTGTCAGTCCTCTTTTCTGATAAAGCTCGTGCCAGTTCAGAGCCCTGCAACATAACACAGAAAAAGCAAGTGATCAGCCCTGCTATTTTATTCTACTGCTGGCTCTTTCACAGAATTTTCCAGCCTACTCAGCTCCACAGTCACTTCACAGTCCAACAGCTGAAATTCTGAACTCCCTAAGCTCATAGCTTTCCATTAGCACATTTCTCCCAAGATGTAGGTCTGCACATAGTAAGTGACAGCCACAAGAAATTCAGAGATTCCAGTCTATAACCACAAATGCTTCTTGTCAGGGCCTGGCAAGGCTGCTCTTCTGCCTCCTGGTCAGGTGTCAGGACTAAATGAATCCATCACCCTGCAAGAGTTAACTCCCTTCTACTCTTAGGCAAAACATCCAGAAAGTGGGCCCCTAAAGAGACAGCATTTCCATTTTACCTTCAGAAATGAAAGATACATATGCTAAATGAACTGATCTGCACTGCATGGCATCATCTTCCTTTGAACTGAGCTGCACTCCTGATCTGAGACACACACACCAGAAATCCCTTCACACCATTTCTCATATTCAAGCTCATCACTCCTAGGAGTCACCACACTGCAAACTCCCACTCTTTTGCCCCACTTTTATCCCCACAAGAAATATTCACCCTGGAAGGATCCAGCAGTTGTTCAATCTGTTTATCCTTTCTATTGTTCTCCTCCTCCAGTCGACGRAGCTTCACTTTCATTCGATCTCCCTCATTCTTCTGAGCTTGTATTGTCTGAAAGAGGGGATAAGAACCTTAACCATGTTTCAAAAATAGAAATTCACAGAATTTTCACATGGAAACACATTTTGATGTCAAAACCAATCCAATTACGATGGTAAAATTTAAGTGAAAGAGGAAAAAAAAGAGGGAAAAAGCCCAAAACACAAATCCATTGCAGTGGACCAGGGCAATCACCAGGACAGGACAGCATASGGAGGAGACAGAGGAAAGATGAAGGAAAAGGTCTAACAGAAAGGCAACCTTACACAAATGATCAACCACAGCCAAGGTATTTGTCTAGAGGTAACTCCAGTATTCAACAAGTCCTCATCTTTCATACACCACACTAACATCAACAGAAAATCTACTCAAACCAAATCACACCAGAAGAACCCTGAAATTGTCTTAGACAGACACGAGTTTTAGTTTAGCCTTACATTACAAATACAAAAAATGTGGTGGATGTCCCAGTTGTAGAAACCAAAGTATTCTGCACCATTTAGGCCTGGACATGTACAATGCAATGACTTCTGCAAATATCAGAGAAACTGTACCTTTTTCAGTTCTATAATTTCATCATACATATCTTCTTTTTCTTTGTAGTCAGGAGTTCCAGGAATGTAGCCTACATAAAGAGGTATGTAAAATAAGTAGAGCCATGAGAGGTAATTTTAACCAAGCAGAAACCTTATAGTTAAAGAGAAATATCTAGAACAGCACTAAACTGGAAACTAGGCTTTTTTTCTTTCCTTGAAGAAGAAAAAWCAGCAAGGAAATTAATTTTAGAAATGGAGGTGAAATAGAAGTGTTACTGTATGAAACTTATGCCAGATTTTGCAGCCAATTTMTCCTAATTACTTCTCTCTGGTGCTATATTAAAATATCCATCTCATGGAAGACACAAACTTCACAGAAGACTGCAATYTTCTCATCCTAAAAATCCATTATTTACAAAAGCTTTCTAAAAGATGTCCAGAATAATTTTTTTTATTTATGCTTAACATGYACAAATTATCATCTTGTAAAGTTGCCAGAAATTGTGTATTAGCAGTAAAAGTRTAGGTGTCATTTTAAATGGAAGTGGAGTTTTAAAGTTTATGGTTTTAAGAAAAACAGAACTAAACTTTTAAAGTTTGCTCTTCTCATAAAACTCATTTGATTTTAATGTCACAACCACATGATAAAACACTTTCTAGAGAAGAAGTAAAAGGAGTCAATTACACAGAATTTCAGGGAAGCAGATGGCTTCTATCAATGGTTCCTAAACTATGTTTTGAAGTCACAATAAATTGTCTACAGCTGTCCCATTGAACCATATTATATTTGCAACATTTTCAGCTGCAAATGCATGGCAATTTGCAAAAGTTCTGAAAGCTAATAGTGATTCATTGCTCAAAAAAAATTGGAAATCCCTGCCTTAACATATTTAGAAATCTCAAAAAGGATCTCATGGATCATATTTTGACACATATTTTTTAAGCTAAAATGACTCTTGCTTTACTGAATCTAAGACCTTAAGCAATGTGTGTTTTTAAAGAGGATAAAAGATCATTCACTTTTATCTACCACACCATTACAGAGTTTACCATTACTGGAAGAACGAGAATGTTTTGGCTTTTTCATTCCTAGAGCTTCCTTCAAATATTCTGGAGTGCTACTGGAAAYGTTAGCTCGCATATGCCCCGTGTCAACATCTAATTTCAGAGCATGGCTCATTCCTGCCAACAAAAATGGAACAAAAAAGTGAAAATCAGGGATCATTGTGAATTAAATTAGTGGAGTTATTCTGAGCAAATGCAACATGGAAAGCTCCAGATGCTGTTAATTATTCCCTCTATAAATTCCAATGCTCAAGATCAGATAATTCCAACCACCCAAATAAATAACAGTGAAATTAATTTCTATGCAGCCTTTAATCAAATACAAATGTATTTTTAATAGTTTATATATTAAGCTGTCCACAACAATTAATTGTATCCATAAATGCAAACAACATTTYTATACTAATACCTTGTTTCAGTGATCCCAGCCACATCTGCCTTGGGTTTTTAGCAACTGCATTCTCAAAACATGCACTGCCTGTTCCCTGCAGAGATCGCCAAGCCRCAGCTTTTTTAGGATACAGTTGTGTGCTCGAGCTGTAGGGAGACTCTGTAGCAAAAGAAAATATCTCAGTATCACCTTCAAAAGCTCAAGGTCACAAAAAATTCTTATTGTCTTGCTCTTCAAAGTTCCCAGGCTCAATCCTATTACTTATAAAAATAGAATTTAACAGCATGTTCCATAACGGCTTATATGTGTGGGAATTATCTGGAGCAAAGGGACAGTCATCTAAAATAAAAAAAAACAACAATCCAAAAACCCTATATGGAAAAAATACAATTCCAAAAAATGGAGAGGCTTAGAAAAARGCATAGTGACAGTAGTATGACTCAACACATGTGGAAATATTTACATGAACAGTCTGGATAGGCATCATCAAGATACCTGCACATCTAAATGTTGCTATTAACAACACTTTAAGGTAAAGATTTCTTTGAAACATTCACTGGAAGCCTCAAAAGGAAGATGAATGGAAAAGTGTAGCAAAAAAACATGAACACCAGAAAAAAAAGTACAAAACCAATATTAAAACTGCAGATCTAATAACAATAACATTATACTGTGAAAAAAAACCAACCCACCCTCGCTAATGAAAGAGAGAACTTCTAAATCTACACACAGATCTACTACTGGATGATAGAGAGCTCCAGTAATTCCAGAGTCTCTCTACACAAGTATCAGCATTTCTCCAAAAAGACAAAGAGAAAAACAAATTCAGGATGGTTTCCATCAGAAGGCATAACATGAGAAAACCTAGTTTATGCTGGAGAATCCAAACTACAACCAACCCATAAACTTCAATATTTTAGCTTATACAAGTCAGACTTCACAGGTTACAGAACAGATCTCAAATAGGTGTGCTCTGCACACAGCAGTGCATAATTCTGAAGAGAATAACAAGGAGTTGTTCCTGTGTACCACAAATGTATCTTGTTTTGCAATCACAGAAGAAAAAAATTTGGAACACTTACTTGGTGACTTTGGAGGCTTGTGAAAAATCTTCTTCTTTAACTTCTGGAAGAGAAATGGATTTTWAAAAAATAYTCAGYYCTTAAGATTTCATCATATAATCTCAAAATTGCCTTCAATCTTCATTTTTCATGAAGATCTTTTGTTCTAACAAGACAAAATCTTTTCTATAGAAGAAAGATAGTAGCATTAAACAAATGCAGATTTGAGCACAGAATTGGTCACCAGAATTAAAGGTGGTGTCAACTGATTAACAGATAAATTTTCAATTTGTGCTCAGAATACAAGACCTTTCCCATCAATGTTAAATATGAGTAGCAGCAAATTCAAAATGATCCCAGAGTAGAGACTGATCTGTAGAACCATTTAGCTAAAGTCAATTCCATTAAAACTCTTGAAAAAGATTACATAACTTGATAGAACAGCAAAAWAAAGCCAAACATCATTTGCAGCCCCAGTGCTGAGAATTCAGAAGCCACAATTACATCTGGAATTAGAGGAGGTTTGTGAATCAAGCCCTGTTGGGGCACCATTGTTCACTCTTCTCTCTGAGGGGTGTCTTGATGAGCAGGAGRCACCACAGAGATGCAGCAGGAACACGAGAGGCCTTCTGGGGTATTAATCAAAACTCACCATTTCTGTATCTGACTCACAGGTTATCACAGACAGGCTGTCATCTCCCTGGAAAACAGACAGGACATTTGCTACTGAGCACATGCTTGGAATACACACCAGAAAACTTCTACAATTCAACTAAGTTGGAACATACTAAATTCAAACAGTAAACACCGTGACCAAAGCCTCAGTTTCTCTTCCATTGCCTTGCTAAAATGTCAATTATTTAAGATAAAAATAAGCCATTTTTCAAAAACACTGAAGCCACTGAAAGACAGTGGCATTCCTGCTGCAAAAAACAGCATCATTTGCTCAAATAGTTTTGAGATATTGTGAAAGTCACTTCAAAATGAACCACCAGAGAATGGTTTGGGTTGAGAGGGCCTTAAAGATCATCCATTTTCAACCCTGTGCCATGAGCAGGGACACTTCACTCTTGAGTGCACAGCATGACACCAGTTGAACCTTCAGCTGGTTCTGCATGAATTTCTCCACCATTTAATCATGAATTTCTCCAACCTTTAAGCTGCAGCTGACCTGGCTGTTCCCATCCTCACTCGCTTGCCCTACCCTTGCTATGCTATGGGATGGTTCAGTTCCTATATTGAAATGCAGAAATGCTCAGGCTGAGGAAAAAAACTCAAACACAAGGAAGGTGACAAGTTTCACTGCTTCTCAAATGCAAGGATACCCACAGCAGGAGGAAAATTTCCACTCARCTTTCAAATTATCAGGATTCTGCCTGCACAGAAAGACCTTTTCCACTTGCTGCTGACTCCATGGCACTCACAGCACCAATCTTTGGGTAGATGCTGATCTATGCCTGTAAGAGGCCGGGGAGTGGGTGAAATATTTTTGGAAACCCTGGCTGGCAGAACAGGAGCAGGTTAAGCATCCTACCATGCTGGCTGACAGCAAATAGGGATGTGTTTCACACACCAGGCCATACAGTTTTTCATTTCCTGAGGCAATGCTTCTTGCAGCACACTGATTAAATTCAAGGCCTCTCATTCTGAAATATCTCTCTCCCTAGCTGTAGCTATCACATTTGGAATCAGAGCAGGTGGAGGATGCTCAGCCTTGATAAATGGTAATAACACAACATTTACCAGGATATGAGCACACAATAACAGACCCACCACTGCCCTTGGTAACCTTCACAGCCCCTTCGCTCCTGCAAAACTGCCCCAACCAGAGCCACCTACAACAGGCAACAAGAGAACATGGGGGCTCCCAAAGCGGCTCAAAACCTCAAGGTGGGAAACAAATACCATCACAGAATCACAGAATCATTTAGGTTGGAAAAAAACCCCAAGATCGCTGAGTCCAACCTACGACGGAACATCACATTGTCAACCAGCCCATGGCACTGAATGCCACATCAACTCTTTCCTTAAATACCTCCAGGGACAGCAAATCCACCATTTCCCTGGGCAGCCCATTCCAACATCTAATCACCCTTACTGTGAAGAAATTCTTCCTAATGTCCAACCTAAACCTTCCTTAGAACAAGTTGAGTCTGTCACCCCCGTGCCGTGGAACGGGGCAGTCAGGGAGACACAGGCAGAGCCCAGAGTCCCGCGGGCTGGAGACTGCAGAAGCCATCCCACTCCCACTCGGAGCCAGCGTCTCGCCGGCCTGTCAAGCCTGGGGGTGCCCAAGGCTTTGTCCCGACCTCGCAAAAAAGTTTCATGAGCAAGCCCGGCCGAAGAGGCCTAGAGCCGGGGCCTTCTCCTCCTYCCCGCCGCTTACTCCTTACCAGCTCCCCCTGGGCGGCCGCCTCGCCGGTGTCCCGGGCCATGGTGGGAGAGCGGCGGGCAGGCCTCACGGGGTGYCGGGGCGGCGGGAGCCCCCTCGGGCCGGGCCTGCCTGCTCGGGGCTGGGGGCGGCCATGGCGCCCATGGCACTTCCGGGTCGCGGTAACCATGGCAACCGCTCGCAGGGGCAGCGCCCCCTTGCGGCCGGGAGCGGCGGCGCATGCGCAGAGCGGCAGCGCGCCCGCGGGCAGTGTGGGCATGGCTCGGCGGAGCGCGGGTGACACCAAGCGGCCCCTCAGGGCGGAAAACCCCGGCGGGCGGCCGGGCAKCCTCTGCCAGCGCTCCGCTCCGCCACCGGGCCGGGAGCTTCTACTCGAGAGCGCCGGGACAACCCCGGGCAGGGCGCGACCCCATCCCGCCCACCATGGGCACCGTTCCGCACCCACCGGGGGCACCCGGAGAGCGCCCGGGTCACGGCCCCTGACCCGCCACTGGCCACGCCCCCTCCGCCACCGGCCACGCCCCCTCCGCCACCGGCCACGCCCCCTCCGCCACCGGCCACGCCCCCTTTGCGACACTCGCGGTGCGGCCGGGCCGGCTCCGGTGGCGGTGGCGGTGGCAGTCCCGGTCCCGGTGCCGCTCCTGAGCCCGGTGCCGGTCCCGGTGCCGCTCCTGAGCCCGGTGCCGGTCCCGGTGCCACTCCTGGGCCCGGTGCCGGTGGCAGTCCCGGTCCCGGTGCCGCTCCTGGGCCCGGTGCCGGTCCCGGTGCCCCCGACCATGTCCGACCCCCAGCCCTGGTTCGTGGCCCGGGCCCGCCGCCGTTTCGCCATGACCCGCGAGTGCTCCGTGCTGCTGCCCGGTGTTTGCGCCGCCCTGGCCGACCCGCGGCAGCCCGGCCTCGACGACACCTGCCTGGAGAAGCTGCTGGACTGGTTCCGCAGCCTGACGTGGTTCGGTGAGTGCCGGGCATGTTCCGAGGGGAGGGGTGGGGAGATCCGTCACGGAATGGGAGAATAGTTTGGGTTGGAAGGGACMTCTGGAGCTCATCCAGTCCAAACCCCTGCCAAGAGAGGGTCACCTGCAGAAACAGTTGTCCAGGTGGGATTTGAATGTCTCTGCAACTATCTGAGGTGCTGTGGCACCTGAAAATGCTGTGAGTGAACCCGAATTCATCGGTTCTAACAGTTGGCAGGGCTTACCTCAGCTCAGGGAGCTCCCTAATGGGAGAGGACAGTCGTGGCAGTGACCCGCTGTTTTCTGGTCTCTCCCGGGCAGATCCCACTGTGGAGCTGCTGCAGGACAACCCGTGTCTGGCAGAGCTCATCACCTCCGTGCTGGCCCTGCCGGATCCCAGCCCCAGCATCCTGTCCTTCACCCTGCAGTTAGCTGGGATCCTCGCCTCTTCCGAAAGCCGCTTCCAGCACCTGCAGGTGAGTCGGCCACCCAGGCACCTGCTGCTGTGTGTCTGTCTCCTCCTTCTACATGGATGACACCTGAAAATGTGCATATTCTGCTTGTTAAACTTACAGCATGCATGGAACAACTCAGCAAATGRTSAKATGATAACAAGGACCTGCAATCACYGTTCCTGTTCACTTCTCAKGTGAAGCTGCTTCTTGTCTCCCCACAGTAGTGCTGTGATTGCCTGATCCCATTTTTAGTTCAAAAGAGTGTATGGGATAACACTGGCTCACAGCAGTCACTGCATAATACTGTATCCCTGGAGAATTCCTGTAGATTTAAACTGCACTAACAGATGTCATTTTCCCAACAGTAGGTTGACAGGAAATTTTTGATTCCCTGCAAAAACGAGAGAGCTTTTTAAAGCCCTGCATTCTACAATGGCATACATTTATAGTACAAAACCCAAAAGGCTTYATCCAGGGAAGAGATGTGTATAAAACAGCCTAATGGAACTGATATATAKGAGTTGTCCCTTAGCACCTGAAAACAGAAGGGTTTTGGTCTTGAACTCTCTAGTTTGTGCTTATGTTGTGTTTAATCATGAGATTCTAAAATTTGCCAACTTTAGTGATACTTCTGGGAAGAGGAGGTTTCACTACAGTGCTGATACTCTTGACTTGGACCGATCAGCCCCTTTGCTCACTGTCCACTCTGTTCTGCTCTGGCTCAGCAGGAGAAGCTGCTGGGGAGGCTCTTTGGGCAGGAGGGACCCCGGGGCAGCGCGGCGTGGGAGGACGCGTCGGTGCGCAGCGCCTGGCTGAAGGGTGTGCACAGCATGGTGCACCACCAGCCTGCCCTGCMCTTCCTCTGCTCCACGGGTGAGTGCTGCTGGGGCTGGCATCTCCCACATCTGCTGTGGCCCTGCCATTCCAGTCTGATGCTCACATGTCAGATGAGCAAGATGGGATCTTCATTTAGAATTAAAATAAGCCATTTGTCAAAAGCACTGAAGTAAATGTAAGATGCTGGTTAAGTTAGTTAAGTATTAAGTTAACTTTTTTAAGTTAGTTATGCATTTGGGTTTTTTCTCCAAACATTGARCATGGAATTCCCATTGATTCCCCTTTCTAGAGGGGAAAGAATCTTACAAAATTGCCCTTATAAAATTAAAAGCTGCCTGCATTCTTATTTGTAGCTCTTGCTAAAGAGTACATTTCAGTCTGATTTTAGTGCAGAAAAACTAAGCAGAGACTCATTTATCTCTTAGTGCTTGCACACATTTGCAGTGCTGTTTTTGTTATGCAGGTATGTAAATTCTGCAGTTAACACCAACTTTAGATCCCATGTACAGAGGGGCCTAAATGATTAGACTGGTATTAAAGTGCAACATATGCTGCTGTTCATGTGATGGAAAAATGGCACTGATACTGCTGCTCATGTTTTTCCTACTGGTTATGTCCAGAGATGTACAGCTTCTTTCTGTAAATACRTATTGAGTGTGTTGTCAACTCTCCTAATCTTACTGATGTTATACTGAAGGCTGATCCTGAGTTATTATGCCCCTGAGGATCTGAAAACAATTTTATTTTCTTCTTTTGTTTGCTTGTTCTTAAGGACTGGCAGACTTGGAATAGAGACTACAAAATAAAGTATAAGAAACCCCCCCGAATCACCATTTAAAGCTGTGTGGTACCTGAATTAGGTCATAAATGGTTGTTTTTTCCTCCAGTGACTTGTTTTGTTTTCCCACAGGAGGCATGGATGTGATCTTTGCTCTGCAAGGAGATCCCAGCCTGTTTGTGGCTTCGGCTGCCAGCCAGCTCCTGGTGCACATGCTCACCTTCTCCCTGGAGTCTGAAACATCCAAACCTCTTTCTACAAAGGACTGTGACTGGCCAGCRTGTGCCCAGATGATTGTAAAGCACATAGAAGAGTCACTTCAGTCCAGCTCTGCCTGTCACATCGAGCAGTCCTTGAAGCTGCTGACCAGTTTGTTTGGCAGYTGTTTTGGCAGTTGTTACGCTGCATGGACTGAAGTGCTTTGGTTRCACATAGCAAAGCAAATAGAAACCTTTCTGGTGGAGGAGACTGTYCAAGCACAGCCCGTGCTGGCCAATCTTTTGCTGAACGTGGCACGGTAAARATCTCCTGGCCCCTTGGAGCCTGTGCTGAGATAGATCTGGTTTCCACCATATCATGGTTACACTTACATTTCTTTCTTCTCAGGTCCCCTGTGTTTTGTGGCACTGAAGRCAGCTTTTGGCCATTAGTAACTTCTGCTCTAGAACACTTAACCCCAGTACAAGCAGGWCCTCTGGCAGTGGGACTTCTGAAGCTCTGCAAATGGTAGGAATTACTACAATGAAATTGCTGCACTGTGCAGGTGTTTCYGCTCCATAATTCCCCTTTAGGAGTGAAAAAGCATCAGGAAATAATCAGATGAATCCAGCACATACAGATACTGATTTACAGGCTAAGTAACACTCTTGTTTTAAGATGGAAGGACACTTTTGYTGACAAGATACGCCTCTCTCTCAGCCTCTTTTCAGAGGATCCTACTCTGTGTTTGCATAGCTTGATAAAGCTGCTTCTAATTCCAGAGCCATTTCTCCTCTGCTTTCAGTTAGCAAGGAAACCTTGGAAGAAGGCTCAGATTGTGGTACTGTTTTTGTTTCTCTGTCATTGCTGGTTTCTTTCAAAGCCTGTGTGAAAATCCTTATCCTGCTCAGCATTTAGGGGCAAGTATTTGGGAAGGAATTGGCATGTACTTGTTTTGGTAACTGCTGTTTCCTCCTTGAAGCCCACAAGACTTGAGGATTCAGGCACTGACTGTTCTGCTTCAGCCAATGGACTGTATTTTGAAAGCAGCCTCCCAGCCTCTGGAATATGCAGGTAAGTTAGAGGCCAGGCTGCTTGCCARTGTTTCCAGTGTCTGATGCAGACAAAACTGGAGGAGAAAGAGTAGGAGAAGTCAAGGACAGTAGCAGTGTTAGTGGAAAAGTGCAGCATCCTACTGCTGATTGCATTTGAAGGGATATTCATACTGTATCACTTGAATATCTTGGTTAGCTTTAAAAAACACAGACTTTCCTATTCATTGACAACCTGAGCTCTTCYCTTCTTTGGTCCCCTAGGTTTGCTGGATGAGTCTGTTTGTGACCCTGTCACAGTTGAAAATCTCCTGTCCTCCAAGACATCTTGTGCTGGTCTCCTGTGTCAGACCCTTGCTCATCTGGAGAAGCTGCTGTCTCTGGTGAGAATCAAACGGGTCCTTGAAAGGCAGCATTGAGAGTGGTTGAAAACTTTTGCAGTACAGCATAACAGAATGTAGAGAGGAGTTRGCAGTGAGGGTTTCCATAGTTTAGGGAAATTTAGCACAGTAGACTCCAAATATGAAAACAGAGGAATACTGAGGCTCATGAAGAGGGGCTGCACTTAAGTTTTAAACCTGCCTTKATGAGCTTTGTTGCCATACTTTACTTGTACTGCAATTATTGATCCTGTGAAAAAGCACAAATTGTACTGCTTTCCTAAGCAGTGAGAAGAATCTTCTTCCATCTGTGCAATAGTTCTTGGAAGAGACGAAGATAATTTATTTGTAGTTAGTGACATTGTGGTACGTTAAGAACCCACTAGAAATTGCAAATTTTGCTGCCTTCTGACCTAAAACTGCTCTGTAGTTGAGACTGTTGCTAGAAACTCTTTTCTCTTTTTTTTTCTTTCTCACCTATTAGAGAGTAGAATTACCCTGTGTGTCCTTGCTGCGCTCTCTCGTGACAATATTACAATTCTGCAATGGCTTCCTGAGTCCAACTTCTCCTCTGGGAAGCACAGTAAGCCGGAATTTGATCAACTGCTGCCGAGTGCAAAAGTCAGCTCTTGATGTACTTGCAGCACTCTCAGAGAAAAAAGGTGAGTCAATCTTCGCTCTCTTATCCACAACAGTTTGACAATCCTGTGTCTTTATGTATTTCAGCAGGAATTTGGCTGCTCCTTCTCTCATTGTTTGTCCTTTGGCCTTGTTTTCTCTGTTTCAGGCTGTGACACACTCAT